AATTAATACCTAGACAAGCTTGTTTGTGTATGTGTATGTCAGAATGTAATATCCATGATCTCTAGTCCAATTCTTAATAAAGTCCTCACTTATTTATGAAAGTTCAGCAACATAGCCTTTACTCTCCATATTCCTATTAGCATTCTGATCTTCTGCATGCCCAAAAGAACCACCCAGAAAACTCTGTTTCAGTGTTCTAAAATTTCCCTAGTCTACTTCTCTAAACTTTTCAAAACTTCTCCCACAAACCAATTCTGAAGGCTTCCAAACCAAGTATGTCACAAAAATGACCCTGCTCGTGGTAGTTCTGAGTGTTAAGCAGCAATGATAAAATACCAGGCATAAACAACTTAAAAGGAAGAAATGCTTATGTTAGCTCATTGTTTCAGAAGCTTTAGTCCATAGTTTCTCGGTCCTATTGCCTTTAAGCCTATTGCCTTTAATGCAATTTATCATGGTAGAAAGTACATGGCAAAGGAAACTGCTCATGTTTTAGCAGCTAGGAAGCAATGAAAAAGGAGGAAGGGTGAGATCCCGATATCCTACTCAAGGGCACTCCACCAGCAAGCTCACTTCCTTATACCAGGCCCAACCTCTTAAAAGTTTTCATCAGCTCCCCGTAGTAGCATCAGCTGGGGACCAAGCCTTTAACACGTAAACCTTTGGGGACACTTAAGATTCAAACCATAACATAGATCATAGTTCCTTACACTCACCATACTTTAAGGGCCCTCTCTTGACACAGAATTTCCCTGTCAACCTCCATGAGTTACTGTGAGGAAGGAGCATATGACGCAGACTCTTGTTTTTCTGACTGCACAGTTTAAACAGGTGGGTTTTTGAGCTGAGAGTTGACCATGTGACAGTTTTCCTCTTGTCATTTGAAATGGTGGACACAGGGGACCTAGAAATTCTTGCTTTATGCCACAGCCTTCAGAGTCCTGGTCCCTGATCACTTCAGTCTCCATAGTGAGCTCTCCTAGCAGTATATAAAAAGGGTATTGTCTCTCTCTTCAACAAAATTAGAGATAAGGGCAAAATAGTTTCTGCCTGGTAGCGAGGGGGTGGGGAGAGAGGGAGGGGGTGGGAGGAAGGGGGAAGAAATGACCCAAACATTGTATGCACATATGAATAAAATTAAAAAAATAATAAAATGGGTATTGTAAAACATCAATATGTCCAAAGCAGCAGGCAAAGAAGTTAGGTAGCATTCTTGTGTGCAATTTCCTAGTATTGTGATCTTATATCTCTAATTTAATTACTGATGTTTCTTTTGCCAGTGTTGTTGATCCTTCATCTTTTCAGAATGCAGTGTGGTTCTAAGGAAGAGATTCCCAGCCCTTGGTGGTGGCATAACAGCAATGATGCAAACATCACAACTTTTTGGGGATTTTTATGGTTTGGATCTGGAGCTTCCCCAAGGACTCATGTGATAAAGGCTTGGTCTCCAATGCAGCAGTGTTTAGAGTTGATGCCTTTGGGAAGTGATTGGATCATAACAGCTCTAACCTCATCAGTGGATTAATCCATTGATGGATTCATAGCTTACTGTGCTCTAGGAAGAAGGTGTAAATGTTAGGAGGTAGGGCCTAGTTGGAGAAAGTAAGTCACTGGAAGAGTGCTCATAAAGAAGGGTATAACTTACTTCTTCTCCCTTGTTATCCAGGACATTGTGCTTCATATTACCCCCATATAGAAAGGCGTTATGGTTTAAGATGGTATGGGGTAGAAGAAAGAACTTTTAGAGATAGATACTCCTAGTTTGAAATCCTGCCTTAGTCATTCACCTGTTTTGAATATTAGGGAAGTTACTACAGTCTCTGAATTCCAGTCCTCCCCTCTATAATATGGCTATAATGAAGTCTTTTTCTTGGAATTGTTTTGAGGACTAAGGATTACTGTGAAGTTTATGTGCATCAGTGATGGTAAAGTGCCTGGCACATGGTGAGATGATTCAGGTGGTAGTTCTTTTACCAGTTACAGGGAACCCATAAATGGGAACAAGTGATTAAACACAAATCTTAGTTCTTCCTGGTTTTCTTAGGTTATTTGAAATTTCAAGCAAAAACAGAATTAATATTTCCCTCAATATCATAATCAAAGTACTTTATGATTCTGTAAGATTTCACTTAAATGTGTGAACAAGGGCAAGTCAACTGAACTTCTCAATTTTCTTACATGGAATTTGAGAATAATAAGACATTAAAATGAAGGTGATAATATATACCTGAAGACCCACTGTAAGAAAACTCCTAAGCACTGCAACTGATGCATGTCTCATTTTTTTTAGACATTTGTACAATTATCCACAATATTATCTTGTTTTATATTTCATGTAGTTCTAGAGACCTGAAATCTATCTATATATGTATATATGTATGTATGTTTGTATGTATCTATCTATTATCATCATCATCTATTTACTTTTATTAGGATAAACTTCACACACATAGAATTAACAATTTTAAAGTATAAAATTCATGGCATTTAGTATATTTGCAATGTTATGCACTTATAACCCCTAATAAGCCCCAAAAGGAAACACTAGACTAATTAAGCCATCACTCTCCCTACACCTTTCCTCCCAGGTCCTGGCAACCATTAATCTGTTTTCTGTGTCTCTGAAGATTTATCATACAATATGTGATTTATTGTTTCTTGCTGGTTTCACTTAGTATGTTTTCAACTTTCATCCATATTGTAGTATGCATTAATATTTGATTCCTTTTATGATTGATTAATACTCCATTGCATGAACATACCACATCTTGATTTCCATCATCCATTAACAGATATTTGGGTTGTTTTCATCTCTAGGCTATGATGAACAGTGCACTGTGAGTATTTGTGTACACATTTTTATTTGAATATTTTGGGTATATAACTAGGTGTGGAATTTCAGGTCATATGGCATTCTATACTTAACTTTTTGAAGAATTGCCAATTTTTCCCTCTCATGGCTTCATCATTTTACGTTCTCATCAGCAACACACAAGGATTCCAGTTTCTCCATACCCTCACCAACACTTGTTATTTTTTCTTTACTATTATAATTGCTATCTTAGTGGTTACAAAGTGGTATTGATTTGCCTTTTCTCATTAACTAGTGATGTTGCTCCTCTTGCCATGTGCTTATTGATTATTTGTATACTTTCTTTGAGGAAATGTTTCTTAAAGTCTTTTGCCCATTAAGAAAAATCTCTTTGGTTGAGTTTTAGGATTCTTTAAATATTCTAGATATTATTTACTTATCAGATATATGATTTGCAAATATTTTCTCCTGTGCTGTGGGTTGCCTTTTCATTTTCTTGGTGATGTCCTTTGAAGTCGAAAGTTTTTAATTTTGATGAAATTCAATTTATCTGCTTTCTCTTTGACTGATTGTGCTTTTGGTGTTATAACTAAGAAATCATCACCAAATTGCAGGTCATGAAAATGTTTTATTTTTATTTTTTTATTTTATCATTTTTACATTTACTCTCATATGTATATATTGTTTGGGTCACCACCACGCTCCCCCCACACCCGCCATGTTTTCTTATGAGGTTTTTTTGGTTTTAGCTTTTATATTTTAGGTTTTTTGATACATTTGCAGTCAATTTTGCAGATAGCTTGGGGTAGGGATTCAGATTAATTCTTTTGTGTGTAAATAAATATCCAGCTGTCCCACCACCATTTATTGAAGAGATTATTCTTTCCTCTGTTGAATGGCTTTGCATCTTGTTAAAAAACAGTTTACCATAGACATTTGGGTTTATTTCTGGATTCTCATTTCTATTTCATTGATATATGTTTCATAGTCATCATTATGCCAATATGGCAATTTTGATTACTATAGTTTTATAGTAAGGTTTGAGATGGAGAGGCATGAGTCCTCCACCTTTGGTGCTCCCCTTTCAATGTTTGTTTAAGGCTATTGTGGATAACTTGCACTTCCACATGAATCATAGAATCAGCTCTTTTTTCCTTTCTTCAAAAAGGACAATGGGATTTTGATAGGATTGCACTGAATCTGTAGATTGCTTTTGCCCTCTTAACAATATTAAACTTTGTGGTCCATGAATATGAAATAGTTTTCCATTTCTCTAGGTCTTTGAATTCTTTAAAAAATGTACAGCTTTTGGTGTAAAAGCCTTAAGCCTACTTGGATTTGTTTATTTATTCATTCGTTCATTTTTGTGTGGTACTTGGGATCCATCCTGTGCCTCTACATGTTCAGCAAGTGCTCTGCCACTGAGCTACATCGCCAGTTGTGAACTTCCTTGATTAAATTTATTCTTGAACATTTTACTCTTTCAATGGTACTTTAAGTGGGATTGTTTTCTTAATTTCATTTTTGGGTATTCACTGCTTGTGAATAAAATTTGAATGAATTTTGTGTGTTGATTTTCAAATTTGCAAATACTAGGCTCATTTATTAGCCTTAATAGTTTTAGGAGGTGGATTCTTTAGGATTTTCTGTATATAAGATCATGTCATTTGTAAATGGGATAGTTTTGCTTCTTTTCCAATATAAATACCTTTTATTTCTCTTACTTAATTGCCCTGCCTAGAATTTCTAGTACAATGTTGAAATGACGAAAGCAGATATTTTGTGTTGTACCTGACCTTAAGGGAAAAACTTTCAATGTTTCACCAATTATTGAATATTATCTGTGGTCATTTATTTATTAAATTAAATTTGCTACAAAGTTTAATTTTAAACAACAGTAAAACTGCACAATGTAGAAATCTAGGACATTATGAAAGTGTACCAATTCCTAGAAAATATCACTGCTTAAATTTTGAAAATTGATCATTAAATGTACCTTACTTTTTCCAAAAATATGACTTTTCAAAAATATTGTTCTGTGTTACTAAAACAGGCAGCAAAACTTAATGTTTTATCTGTGACATCTCAAATAATGAGAGTCATGCTTTTTACCAAGTGTTTTAAAATACACCATCTTTGAAGATGATTTTGGTTGTTTTAATATGTGCTGTTTTGTTTTGAATTACAGATTGGTTTTGTCCTATATCCTCCCAGTGGAAGTCCTGCATGGGATCTGACTGATCATAGCAACAGCATGTTTCTCACCATTTGCTTTTGTTGGCACTATGCATTGGCCTATGCCATCATTGGAATAAATTATGCTTTTGTCACCTGGTAAGTTAGTGACTTTTGTTCATAAAATTTCCATTCTTTACTGTGTAATTATCAAGGCTCAATAGTGTTGAACTTAAAATTTTGTGTTTACAGTTTCTGTAAACAGAAATTGCCAGCAAAAAAAATGTATGCTGATAAAAGTTGGAGTAGTTCTGCTGTGTCTCTGATCCATGCATCACCCTGCAATACACTCTCCTGTGCCTGCAGATCTTCACCTATGCTGTTTCCTCATCCAATGGTTTTCCTCCAGTCTGTACTGAGGATTCCATTTACCTATAAGCACATGATTCCTAGCACTTCTTAAGATTAGAACTATTTTTGACCAAATTATAAAAATCCCATTAAATTTGTGTGCCTGGTTAATTTCACATTGACTCTGATATTTCTAAAAGTTGAATGACATGTTTTCACAAGAATCCTGATACATTTCATGAATGGGTAAGGAGCAATGTAACAAAATGATGAAAACACATGTTCCTAACTCTGCTGCATGACTACAGGCCATTTACTTAACCAGAATAAGTTTCAGTTTTATTGTTAACTAAATGGGGATAATAATAAAACCTAAATGAGATTTTGTATTTAAACTGCTTAAGACATAGGAGGAATTTAAGGAATGTTATTGACTTTTAGGTGTTCTTGTCCTCCTACTCCTTTTCCTTCTCCTTCCTCTTTGTGTTATGAAGTATGAATGAGGTGGAGTCCCTGCAGTTAGTCCTATAGTTAGGACTAAATTAGAGAGATAGATAATTAAACTTCAATGCAATAAATGGACCGCTAGAAGAACAAGGTACTGTGAGAACTTAGGAAGGGTCCCCGTAATAGAAAGTTATAACTTTCTCTCAAAGGTAGTTGCTAAACTGCAATGGACTTAGCTGATTCCAGTTTCCAGTCATGAAGACTCCAGTACCTAATTTTTCAGCATCAGCACTGATTGAAATGTTCTATAGCTGCTGTGTTCTGTATGCAGTGTTTGACGTGGTAGCCACTAGCTATTGAGTACTTGACATGTGGATGGTGTCACATTACTTTTAGTTAATTTAAATATTAATATGTGGGTAGAAACTTACCATATTGGACACTACATATCTAGCAAGTTCTCCAGATTCCTAAAATGCAGTAGCTGCTTATAGGCTGAGTGGGGTTTCAGCTTCTGCTGGAATGAGTTTTCCACTCTGTCTATATATAGACCCCACGTCATCATTCTTGTGTTGTGCTTCTCTGTACTTTATTGCTGAAGTATTTATGGACCTGGGGCTCTGAGTGAGAAAAACTGTATCTTTTATCTAGCTCCCAGATGTCTCTTTTATTTATTTATTTATTTTTCTTTATTGTTGTGCTGGGTGGGGTTACATTGTGGCATGTGCAAAAGTTCTTATAATGTATCAAATATGTCATATTTTTTGGTTTTGGATCAGCCCACCTCCATGTGCAGTTGCTTCTTTCTAGAGTTGTAAATTGCATTGGGTACTGAGAAATTCTTCCATTAGTCCTAGTCCATTCTCTGAAAGCAAGTGCATGAACTCATAATTAAGGCTGGCTGTGCCTTTGAGTGCAACTTCACCTCTTCTGCTGTTGTTCTAGGCTGACATCTGGGCCTCATCTCCTTAGGGGCTGGAAAGTCTCCAGGAACAGAATTCAAGGAAATTCTCTACCTCATGGCAGTTCTCCTCCAGAGTTCAAAGAAGACTATTGTCTCTTCCTGTTTCAAAAACCTTCAGATGCCTAATGAACCTTTTATCTACTTACAATTCCCTAGAAGTTAGAAACTCCATCTTTTACTTTTCAACCTCTCTCTACCCCTACCACATCTCATTCTAATCTTTTTGAACAGGCACTTTACTCTACCTGGCATATTCACATTAAATGTCCTTCTCTCCTATGAAATCTTCTGTGAATCTTTTGGCCCTTGTTCATCTCTCTTTCCTGAGTTTTTAGAGGGCTTTAGGCTCCACCAGACATTTTAGTGATTGTGATCTGAAAATTGTGATGTTGACTGTTTACTCACATATGTTGTTAGTCCTATTTGCTTAGCTAGATTGTGTCTCCTTTTTATATTACCACTTCTTGGCACACAAAACATATAGTAGGTGCTCAATAAATACCTGTTGGCTGTTCAATAGACTTGAATTTCAGAGTTACTTAAATATAAAATTCTTTGGTTTAGGAAAAATGTTTTATGTGCTTTTCAATTTTGCTCTTGGAAATATAAGACAAAGATTTCCAATTTTCCTGACCTATTTTGATAGGTCAGAAACATAAGTGATAGCTTAAAAATACTATGAAGATTCAATATAACATTTCAGTGTGGGAGTGGCTAATTAAGTCCTGAATTTTAGGATAAGAAACCTTGAAATTCTGTTGGTAATGGTTTTTAACTCACCCATCAGTAATAAAGGGTCAGAACATTATCTCAGAATTTGACATAGCACGAAGATCTCCATGCAAACACAACTAGATTATGGAGATATTGCTTCAAAAATCCCTGAAAGATAAAGTTATGCTTTCCAGATTTATGTGGTAATGGTTCAAATATTATGTAATCCTATCCTGTGACTACTGTCTTGCTTATGATAATTCATAAGTGAGACCCATCTGTTTGGAAATTTAATTACATGTTTTACTATATTTCATATTTAAACACCTCTGTTGCACAGAGCCATTTGAATAGTCCTTGTCTATGGGAAGGAAAATATAGTTTTCCTATGACATATAGGTCTTCAAACCACTGTGAAGGAAAAAAATTAAAATACTCAAAGTTCAGCATATAATAGTTTCTTCAAAGTGCATGCATTGTCCCACCTCTGCTTCTTCTCATATTATTGAAAAGAACATATGCATAGGCAGCCCTTGATTCTTATACTTGGGATTTGAACTATGCTAGTAACTAGCAATTACTTACACTTCTTTTTCATAGCCCCATCTCTTAATCTGCCCCAGGGGGCCATTGCTGCTAGTGTAAAACCTCAGCCTACCAGTGGCAGATAGAGCCTGGCAAAGGTCTCTGAATGTGTCTCAGTTTGGTGGCTTATATATCAGATATAACAGAGAGAGAAGGAGAAGAATGAAAAATCATTAGGGTCTATGTTAGCAATTAATTTGTAATAAGCAGCCAAGAGTCTTTGGGAGTGAAACTAATCAATTAATAATCCATTTCATTTCACATGTATGGAAGTTGTGCACTGTAGAAATAATGTTGTAGTTTTTTTAAAAAACAATGAGACAGGGGTCCTGAGGCTTTGACTTATTAAAGAGCATTGGTCTTTCATGAAGGCCATGGCTTAAATGGTTGAGGACACTGGGAGCAATACCAATTGTCAATCAATAATTAAGGAAAGTAAATTTGAGGAATTTTTCTCAGCTCTTGAGTCAACAGATGTTACTTATCTACTCAGTTATTGTTGTTTACTAGAGGAATTAATGCTGAAGTGACTGAAGAAGTATCCTCTTTGAATAGGTGAGTGATGTGAACTCCTGGCTGATTGCCCAAAGATCATTAATTTGTCAACTGTAAGTGAACCATGATATGTCCCAGATATTTTTCCAAATTTTGACTGGGATTAGGGCAGCAAATAAGATGAATGCCCTACCCTTATGAAGCATTAGTGGGCTTCAGAGCACAAGTGAAGGTATGATGTATTGATAAGGACAAGCCAGAACTTCATCAGAAGGAGTGCTGAAAATTAGAATAAAGATGTGGGTAGGTTACAGAAGTTTCTCATTAAGGAAAATAATTTTGGTGATTTGGTTTGTCATATTTGTTTGCATATTCCTGTGTATTTCTGAAAGTTATGCTTTCTTTTTTTTAAAAAAAAATTGATACTTGCTTTGAATTTAGGACTTCGCACTTGCTAAGCAGGTGCTCTACCACTTGAGCCAGTCCATCAGCCCCTGAAAGTTATGTTTTATTTGTGTGGCCATTATGCAATGTCCTTATGATAATCATGCACAGAAAATGCTTTGTATAGTTGTTATTAATACTCTTTTTCTCATGCCAGAGGATTGGAGACCCTGCTGAGCTTTTGTCACTAAGAAGCTTCAGAACTTTCAGTGTCAAAAGTATAATCACTTATACTTTTGAGATCACTTATACATTTGAGATTTCCTCAAATCTTCATCTGAGTTTCTACTAAACTATGAAAATGGTCATGGGGTAGAGGGAAGGTGACTTAGTTTCTTAATTCCTCATGGACAAGGCCATCACATGCAGTTGATTAGCCTGGGCACTGCACACAAGTGCCTCTGAATGGTCACACAGTGGCTGAAATCCAGTCCAGACTTGACAGAGTTTGACTTTGGCTACCAGCCCTATGGAAGACAATGGTTTCATGTACTTTATTTACAGGAAAGGATATCTTTTTTGCAATGTACAAGTGGGTGTGGCCTCGATAGAGAAACTTCACTGATCTCAGTTTCATCTGGGCTTGCCACATCCTATGAATTATCTGGTTTGTTTTAGAACTCTTCAAAGTTATCTTCTGATGCTTCATTAAACAAACATATAGTCCATTCGAAAGCCACATTTTGTCTGTTTACTTATAACATCCTGGAATCTTCAAAATTTTCAGCTATCTCCACAGACATAGAAATGATTTTCCTCTTTGGACTGCTTCCCCTGTTTACATAAATAGCCTGGACTTTGCTGATTATAGATGCATATTGTTCCTTTTTTCTTTTTTATTTTACATATCATATAACCAGAGAGGATTTTCTTTTTCCTCAGGTTGGTTAAATGGAGACTTAGGAGGCTCTGCCCCTCAGAAGTTGGACTCCTGAAAAATGATGAACGAGAACAAGAATCAGAAGAGGAGGTGTGAATTTGATGGGCATCCAGTGGATCTAGATAAACCTTCCATTTTTGCATTGTCCTTGCTCATGGCTTTGTTTCTTCACCTTTTGATTGGAGAACAATTGGCTGAGGTTGACTGTACTATTTGTATTTGCAATTTAGCCAAAGTATTTGAATTTGAATGTTTTATTTTTAACCTCGAAAATACTTTGGGGATAAATTCATTTTGCACATCATGGTATTCAGGAAGAAGAGTGACTTTTTTCTAAGTCATGTATAGTTTGATGCCCAGAGTATGAAGAATATTTGTTTTATTTGCCTTACTAATATACTCCAGGTTCCTGAGCTTGCTACCATTTGTGACCCAGTGAACCTAGAAATGTGCTTGGTTATCTTATTGCTGGAGTAGAAAATAAATGAGTGCATACACATTGGTGCAGAAACCTCAATCCTTGTTTTTGTTACTAAATTTCACTACACCCTTACATAATGGAGAAGAACTTGCATGCCATAGAAATTCTTTTTCGTGAGGTAACACTGGAGCATCTAATCTCCCCAGGAAAAGTAGGCCAGAAGCCCTCCCGAGATGTGTGACTTTTCTGAGAGAGTGAAGGGATGACTCCCAGAACACATGGTTGCAAAGCCATCAGGGACTGGGAGAGGAGAGTTATGGTGTCATCTCTAAGGGCAGAAGTTATCACAGCATAATGTGACCACCATGCCGTCCCTTCTGTCAAAGTAAGTGAGGGGTTAAAGTAAGAAAAATATTTTCTAGAAGACCTAGGTAGAAAGTCAACATCTTTGCCTAGTGTGTGGACTTAGTAGTTCCCAGTAGTGAGTCAAGAATTCTGGCTCTCCTGTTAACCAGCCTGCAGGTCTCTAGTGGTCACTGTGTCCTCCTTTCTAAAGTAAGGGAATCGAATTGACTGAATTGTTGGTTGTCTTCTAACTGTCACATCTTATGAATGTCAACATGGAAAGATGTGGACAGCTAATTTAGTACAACATTAGAACAGCCAGTCTCTGCTATGACAGAGCGAGGAGGAGGACTCCAGAAACCCTGAGGGATGACCCAAATGTGGAGGAATAGAGGCAGGCTTCTAGATAACTGGAGCTGAAACATGGACATAAAATCCTAAAGGCTTCCTGGCCCTCCAGAGCTTGACAGGTCCAGAAGCTGCCCTGTGTATACATCTAACAGAAGGACTGAAGAGGGAGGCGAGTGATTCTTCAGTTTGTGATGTAAGGTTAGAAAAGAGCAGAGGTGGGAGGATCAAGGTTTACCTTGAGTGATGCAGCAAATTCACATGCCATGGCCCTCTGAGATCATGTGTTTTCCCCCACGTGTGTCCAGTATCTTAGGGCTTTTCTAGTCCCTGAAGATTCTATGACTTTGGCAAATTTGAGTTTTGAAGGAATGAGCCAGGGGTCTTATTGTAACTTTATTGTTATAAAATTTGATTTATATTTTACAACTTCTGTTTTATGTAATAACATAAAAAATTAGCAAACTGTGAACTCAAGTCAAAATTGGAGAGTCTGTTATTTTCTTTACGTTGTGTTAGGATAACTTGAATCATTAAATTGAATCTGTAAACATTTTGATTTACTAAAAATTCTATTTCAGTAGATTTTCTGAAACTATGACAAATATTTTATAAGGATGAGGGTTCTCTCCTTTTTATTTTTATTTTGTCTCAACTCTTCCAAAAACCCAGGGGTTCAGTTCCTGATGTTTTGCCAAACTTCCTTCATGAGTATCCTATACTTCACTGCCAAGAGAAGAAACCTTTTAAATAAAAGTCAGTGCATGGCTTAGTGCTGCTGTCAGTGTAGCAAGGATGAAGGGGGATTTTGAAATGCAGATAGAAGCCTGTCCAACCATTCTGGTTGTGTACATATGAAAGTGAGGGATACTGTGAGCTGATTATTAAATGACATCAGTTTTGGCTGTCAATATGATACCAGCTGTTCATTGAGTTCTGTAATCTCCAATCTCATAAGCTTGATAAATTGCAACCTCTGATTGCAGCTTCTTTTTGAAATGGTAAGCTGGGTGTTGATCATATTGGTATTTTCCTGGTCATTACTTCATCACTATAAGATTTCCTTAATCCAGATACTGATGGTATCTTGAATGTGGATTAATAGGTGAAGTAACAATCACTGGATGCTACATGAACAGTTAGAATAAAAGCTGAGAAGTGAGGAATTCTCTCCTAATACAAAGAAATAATTGATTTTATAAAAAGAAAAGTTAATATGCATATTGCAGAAATTTTATATTCTGTCTAGTATGAAATCCAGATGGAGAAATGTGAGAGAAAAGAGGACATACAATAAAAGGAGATTTTTGCTTTAAGTTTGGAGAGAATGGTGCTTTTAAGAGATGTGTAGTAGATAAAGTGATTGGGTTTCTGGGTTCAACTAGTAAACATTTAAAAATTCAATCCTTTTAAATTCAATTTTTAATTTTTTTAGTTTTATTTTTGTGCTGATGGGGATTGAACCTAGGGTCTTCTCATATAAGGCAAGCACTGTACCACTAGTAATACTTTCAGTTCTACTATTATTTTTTTAAGCATAGAAAGATTGAACACCCCAATTTTAAGGACGTTTTAATTTTATTTTTATTTAATTATTAGCTTAAATAATTAGATTTCTCTTTAAAATTCCAAAATTCACTTTGTTGTGGGATACAGAGAGGCCACTTCAGGGGCTTCTGTCTTCACTGGGCTTAGGAATAAGCTCACGAGACACAGATAGTGCACACATAGGTAGATTTATTAGAAAAAGAAAAGGCTGCAGCTGGAGCAGTGCAGTGAAGCCCAGAAACCAGTGGCTCCCTGATAAGGTGAAGGCTGGGTCTTTTTATGGACACTAACTCTGAGTTAAGGTAAGGATTAGGTGGGTTTTTTCCATTGGCCTTGGATTCATGCGCAGCTCTCTTGGATGAGCTGGTCTATGTCTTCCTTTTTTTGGTGGGGGAGGACAACCTTAAGAACATCCTATCTATCAGCCCTGTAGCAGATTTATGAGGTCATGTATCTCCTTCTCAGGGTGCAGGGCTCATAGTGCTCTCCATAGGGTATGGGATACTGACTCACTCATCTGTCCCTTAGGTTCCCAGACCCAACAATTTATAATAATGAATTAAATATTTTTAGAATCTTAAGTATCATAATGAACTGACAAATTTTCCTTAGTTTTACAAATATAAATTTATTAAATTTACAAATTAATGTAGTAAAATTTAAGTTTTTTTGAATCTAATACTGTATCAACTTAGTGAGATTTCATAAAATCAAAGCCCATATTCAAAAAGCAATTGCATATTTTTAAATTGGACTGATAAAACTAATCTGGATAGAAAAAATAATTTTAAATTGCAGATATCTAAGATGCTAAACATGGACAATTCCTAACACAAAGCATCAATATTATGGTTTTGATTCTCTTAAATATTTCTGTACTTATTCTAAGACTTTCCATGTTAAAATGGGCCTACAGTTAAGTAAATGATTTATTTATTTTATATTTTTTATTTATGATTTTATTAGCATATAATAGTTGTATAGGAGGATACATTGTGATATTTACATGTGTTTAAAATATATCTTGAATTAACCCCCTCCATTGTTCTCTCTCTTCTGCCTCCCTTCCTTCTTAGAACAATTTCAATAGGTTTCATTCTTGTGTTTTCATATATAGATACAAAATGCATCCACCATATATACCCTATGTCCACCCCTCCTCCCACTGGTACCCACCTTGGAAAAGATTTAATAAATGATTTATTTATGAAAGGCAATGTTATTGAGATATCAGACTGGAAATACCAAATGGGATAGGATACTTGGCAGTGACTAGTGACATACCTGAATCTTATCTATAGTCACGTATCAAATCCTCCACACACATTGTGTCCCAGCATTCTATTCACAGGGAGTATATCTTCCTGAAATGGAGTCATACTTAATTACCTGCCTTTTCTGCCTACTCATGAAAATCAACAACTCCCACCCAAGCTGTTGTGACATTGGATGGGCTTTCAATATTGTTTAGAGAAATTTAAGCCTTTTCCAATATGATGACTTCCCTGAGAATTGGCCTCTTGCAAAGGATCTTTCATCTGTCTCCAGAGGAGGAGAAGAAGAAACCCAGGAAGAAATACCTGACATAGAGCCCCAGTTCCTACTTCATGGTATGAAATCTCAGGATACTATAAAATCACCGTGGCTTTTTGGCATGCACATATGGTGCTGTTGTGTATTCTTCCAGCTTACTGGAGAAAAAGTAGGGCTTGCAAAGGGATACTCCTTCAGCAGGAAGCATCACTAAAAATATCCTGGATTGAGATCATTAGGAGACCATTCCAGTAAACAAATTTTGGGATTGAAAAATGTTGAAGTTATTATCTGTAACGTGTGCAGATTTCTGACCTTGATGTAAATCTGCATTTTCCACATATCCATTTCTTATCTGGCAGGATTATTTAATTTTTACATCTATTAAGGTGATACCCTAATAAGTTTTAAGTCATTTTCTTTTGGTAATTCAACCAATAGCTCTGAGATTGGCCATCAGTAGTTTTCAGCCTACAATATCTTAAGGCAGGACCCATAAATTCCTGCTGAATGTATGTATGAGTTGTGGAAGGAATTGTATGACTAACAAAATGTAAAAATGGAAGTAGGTATCTGGGTCATCTCATGAACTCAGGTTTTTTGGCCTGTTTTCAAATGTCTGTAAAGGGAGAGTTAAATATTTTAAGTGAAAAGCTGGAGATGGAGTCCAAATAATCCCCCATTTGATGATCTGTGCCTGAAGTCAAGATACGTTTGGCCTCCAAAACATACAAGAAGAATCTGACCAAAATAATCCTGGAGTTTGGCAACTTAGGATAGAGCAACCCTCTCATCTGTTCAGACAAAGACCCAGGTTCCTGTTGCCTCTGGGAACAAGTGCAAATTCATTAACTTTTTACTCATAATTTTGAGTACAAAACAAAATCAAATTACTTTGGGT